GATGCCACGTTTTTCTTCATATACTCCAGCTTCTCGGATTATTTGCTCAGTATTTAGATTGAATAAGTATGGGGAAAGGATACAACCCTGATGCACTCCCTTCCTGATTTTAAACCATGTAGTGTCCCCTTGTTCCGTTCGAACAACAGCCTCCTGGTCAATGTACACGTTCCTCATGAGTACAATCAAGTGTTCTGGAATTCCCCTTCTTCTCAATGTTATCCATAATTTGTCATGATCCACACAAGATTGATATCCTCAGCATTAGTGAGCTGAAATGGACTGATTTTGACCATTTTGAATCAGACAACTATATGATCTACTATGCAGGAAATGACAGATTGAAGAGGAATGGCATGGCATTTATCATCACAAAGAATGTTTCAAGATCTGTCCTGAAGTACAACACTATCAGTGATAGGATAACATCCATACAGCTACAAGGAAGACCAGTTAATACGACTATTATTCAAATTTACTCACCAATCACCAAAGCCAAAGATGAGGAAATTGAAGGTTTTTTCCAGCTTCTGTAGTCTGAAATTGATCAAATGTGCAATCAAAATGTATTGGTTATTACTAGTGGTTGGAATGCAAAAGTTGGAAACAAAGAAGAATCACTGGTAGGTGGAAAACATAGCTTTGATTATATAAATGACACTGGAGATGGCATGATAGAATTTTGCAAGACCAATGACTTATTCATTGCAAGTACTTTTTTTTTCAGCAACATAAATGGTGCTATATATGTGGACTTCGCCAGATGGAGTATACAGGAATCAGACTGACTACATCTGTGGCAAGAGGCAATGGAGAAGCTCAATATCTTCAGCCAAAACAAGGCCAAGAGCTGACTGTGGAACAGACCATCAACTGCTCATATGTAAATTCAAGTTGAAGCTGAAGACAATTAAAACAAGTCCATGAGAACGAAAAATATCACCCTGATTACATTCACCTGAGTTTAGAGACTATCTGAAGAGTAGATTGGACACAATAAACACCAATGACCAAAAACCAGACAAATTGTGGGATGACATCACAAACATCATCCATGAAGAAGGCAGTCATTAAAAAGACAGGAAAGGAAGAAAAGACCAAAATGGATGTCAGAAGAGACTCTGAAACTTGCTCTTGAAAGAAGAGTAGCTAAAATGGATGGAAGAAAATGATGAGATAAAAGAGCTGAACAGATTTCAAAGGGCAACTCCAGAAGACAGAGTCAATTACTATAATGAAATGTGCAAAGACCTGGAGTTAGAAAACCAAAAGAGAAGAACATCACCAGCATTTCTTAAGCTTGAAGAACTGAGCAAAAAATTTAAGCCCTGACTTGCAATACTGAAGGATTCTATGGGCAAAACATTGGATGATGCAGGAAGCATCAAAAGAAGATGGAAGGAATACACAGAGTCACTGTACCAAAAAGAATTGGTAGATGATCATCCATTTCAGGAGACAGCATATGATCAAGAACCAATGGTATTGAAGGAAGAAGTCAAAGCTGCACTGAAGAAATTGGCAAAAAAACAAGGCTCCAGGAATTGACGGAATACCCATGGAGATGTTTCAACAAACGGATGCCCTGCTGGAGGGGCTTACTTCTTTATGTCAGGAAATTTGGAAGACAGCTACCCGGACAACTGACTGGGAGAGATAGATAACTGTACTCATCCCAAAGAAAGGTTATCCAATAGAATGTGGAAATTATCCAACAATATCATTAATATCACAAATAAGTAAAATTCTTCTGAAGATAATTAAAAAATAGTTGCAGCAGTATACTGACTCGGAACTGGCAGAAATGCAAGCTGGATTCAGAAGAGGATGTGGAACAAGGGATATCATTGCTGATGTCACATGGGTCTTGGGTGAAAGCGAAGAATACCAGCAAGATGTTTACCTGTGCTTTATTGAGTAGGCAAAGGCTTTTGACTGTGTGTGGATCATAACATATGGATAACATTGCAAAGAATGGCAATTCCAGAACACTTCATGGTGCTCATGAGGAACTGGACATAGACCAAGTGGCTGTTGGTTGAGCAGAACAAGGGGATACTGCATGGTTTAAAATCAGGAAGGATGTGAATCAAGGTTGTAGACTTTCACCATATTGATTCAATCTGTATGTTGAGCAAATAATCCAAGAAGTTGGACTCTATGAAGACAATGCAGCATCTTGATTGGAGGAAGACTCATTAACCACCTCTGATATGCAGATGACACAACCTTGCTTGCTGAAAGTGAAGAGGACTTGAAGCATTTACTGATGAAGGTCTAAGACTGCAGTATGGATTACACCTCAACATAAAACAAAAATCCCCACAACTGGACCATTGCTAATTAACAATAATTAGAGAAAGGACTGAAGTTGTCAGGGATTTCATTTCACTTGGTTCCACAATCAACACCCATGGGAGCAGCCATCAAGACATCAGATGACGCATTGCACTGGGCAAATCTGCTGCAAAAGACCGCTTTAAAATGCTGAAGAGCAAAGATATCTCCTTGAAAACTAAGGTGCACCTAACCAAAGCCATGGAATTTTCAATTGCCTAATACACATGTGAAAGCTGGACAATGAATAAGGAAGACGAAGAGTTAATGCCTTTGAGTTGTGGTGCTGGTGAAGACTACTGAAGGTACTGCAGACCGCCAGAAGAACTACCAAATCTGTCCTGGAGGAAGTGCAGCCGGAATGCTCCTTGGAAGCAAGAATGGCCAGACTTTGTCTCACCTACTTTGGTCTTGTTGTCAGAAGGGACCAGTCCCTGGAGAAGGACGTCATGCTTGGTAAGGTGGAGGGTCAGCGAAAGAGGGGAAGGCCCTCAGTGAGATGGACGGACACGGAGGCTGCAACAGTGGGCTTCAGCACGCGGCGGGGGTGAGGACGCCACAGGGGGCAGCATTTCCTCTTGTTGCGCACAGGGTCACTATGAGCAGAACTGATTTGATGGCACCCATGACAACGACAAACAACAACACAAGTTGATTAGGCATCTGTTGACGCTCCTAGTCCGGATTCTGAAGTTGAGAGAGCACTGGAAGTGGACAGCCTCTTCACGACTCCTTTGGTGGGGCCACCTGGCCGGGGTGGATGTGAGGTTGGTCATTGTGGTTGTTCAGCCCCTGCTGTGTGACTAGGGATGCTCCCTGAAGAAATACCAGGGTGAGGTCCTGGCACTGCCCTCGTCTGGGGGGTCAGGGTGTTGCTCTTGCCTGTAGGACAGTCCCCTTCCTCAGAATTCTAAGCCTGAGAGCCGGCAGGGTCAGGGTATCCCTGTCGGCATTTCCCAGCATGTTGTGGGGTTGGCTTTGGGAAGTGAATGAAGGTGTGCATGTGTGTGTGTGTGACCATATCCCGCCTGTCAGAGAAGAGGGCTGATCAAATGGGGAAAGGGAGAAACAGGACGTTGTGATTTAAATTTTATTAAAAAAATCAAGAATGAAATCTGCAAGTATGATCACATCCTGCTGGCAGCAGGCAGCTTCTCAGCTTTCCCGGAGAGTCACCCGGCCTTGGGGCACTGGCCACGCTGCCTTCCTGCGGCCCTGGTTCTGTTCTATGGGGTCACTGGTGGCTCTTGAAAGTGAACGAAGAAGGTGCGGATTTCCTTCGGGTGGACAGTGACGGTGAAGTCTCCCACCAGCTTCAGAGGACGGTTGGAGCTGCCTGGGGGACAGAGGTGGCCTGTCCAGTGCTTCCTGGAGGCACCTGCTTCCCCAAGGCACTTCCTCCTCACATCCCTGACCTCCCTATGGTCTGTGG